CCAGGATCATGACCTGAGCTGAAGGCAGTCGCTTAACCAACTGAGCCACTCAGGCGCCCCCATTTGTTTATCCTTTTGACAGTACTATATAATGATTTATTCTAGGCTTATAACAAATTTTGATATCTGAAAAGAATCTCTTTATTTTTTTTCTTCTTCTTCCATTCTGTCTTGACATTCTTGGTACGTTCTTCCTTCATATGAATTTTAGAAAGAGTTTATCAGACTCTACAAAAAAACTATGTTCAGGTTTGATTGAAAGTGTAATTTGGAGAGATATACTGTCTTTATGAAAGTGACTCCTCCAATTCATGAACATGGTTTGTATCCTCATTTATTTAGATGTTCTTTAAAATATTTAAATAACATTTTATAATTTTGCTTATAAAATAGTGCATATTTTGTTTAGAGTTATTCCTAAGTGGTGTATATTTTTATACCATTTTAATTGTTACTAAAATATGTATTTCTGACTTGCTGATGTATGCTTGCAATTTAAAGAAGAATCATTTTAGCTGTTCTATGGGTAGCAAAGGAAGAAGCAAGGCTATCAGTTAAAAGGATGTTGTACTAATTCAGGCTAGAGGTATTGATGGCTCATTCCAAAGTGATAGTAGAGATAATGAGAAGTGGTCAGAGTGCTGAGGTTCTAGGTACTTTCTGAGTGTGAGATTTGATGACGTTTTAGTGTAGTATGTGGGAGAGGGAAGTTGAAAATGACTCCAGAGCAACAGGAAGAATGGAATTGTCACATTTTGAGCTAGGTCAAGGGCAGAAGGAATATATTTACAAAGTGGTGGTTATTCCAGAATATAGGTTTGAACAGATAAAGGTAGAGATGTATATTCCAGAATATAGGTTTGAACAGATAAAGGTAGAGATGTATAGAGATCAAGTGTAGAAATGAAGTCTCAGCACCTCCTGTCCCCATGTGACCTTCATGGTAGAAAAGTAAGACAGCCTGGTCACCTGGGGGGTAGAGGGGAGATATCTTGTGCAGGAGGGAAAGAAAGAAGATGAGCTCCTTAGAGTTCTTGAACCACACTATAGAGGTTTTTAAATTTTATTTATTTATATTTATTTATTTATTGCAAAGTGGGGACTTGCATTTATTTCCATTTGTTATGCAAACCATCAAAATACATGTGCATTCTGCACCTGAAATGATGTTTCCAGGCAACACTCATAAGCCCTTGGCTGATGGTCCCATTTGAAGCATCTGCACACCTGTTAGAAGCTACATCTCAAAGTCTAGACCTGTGTGCTATCTAACACAGAACCTCAAACCACACCTGAAATACAGCCAGTCTAAACTGAGATGTGCTGTAAGTGTAAAATGCACATCAGATACCAAAGATGTTACAAACAACAAGAAAAAGAAATGCGAAATATCTAATTGATACTTAAAAATATTGATTGCATATTGAAATGATAGTATTTTGGATACACTGGGTTATATAAAATAAATTTTAAAAATATACTTGAATAAATGGCTTAATTAATTTCGGCTCCTTACTTTTACTTTTTAAATGTGGTTACCAAAACAATTTTAAGTTATGCATGTGGCCTGAATTTGTGGCTGGCTTTGTATTTCTTCTGGGCAGTACCCTTCAGAGGTACTTCGTGTTCCATGGCCAGAGGCTTTTGTGGGAAACACAGTTCAAGAAGGATGGGAAGCCAGAGAAGTGAAAAGCCACTTGTCCCAAATAATTCCAGGGAGAAAGAGAGTATGGAGGGAGAGTAAGAAGAATGGATTTAGTACTTAAAATAAAGCAGACCCTGGGTAGGGCCCTGGTATTTGCCATCTTATTTAATCCCCACGAGGAGCTCAGT